CGAAGGGTGCCCTCGAAATTCTGCTGAGCCCCTTGCTCTTCTTGCAACCCATTTCCCATTTTTCTGTAAAACTCGTGAAAGTTAAAGGTGAACGCCACTTTCGAAATGCAGTTCGGAGCTATGGTTTAGTACATCCTCCTTGAAAAAATCATGCTCAAAAGAGGATTTGGAGCGGCAGTGAGAAAACTTTAAATGGGAAGATTTACACTTACAAAAGCAGCATACGATCGTGCGAGTCCGAAATCGAGTATGTGAACAATGCGAGCCCTTTCAAGATCATCTCGGTGTCCCATCACGAAATTATTCGGCTTGATGTCGCGATGGACGTAGCCATAGTCGTGCACAAGTTTCACGCTAAATGAGTCAACGTGCTGTTGAGCATTGCAAATGGGGGAGATCAACGCTACCTGTACAAGCACTGTACCGCGATACGGCTCCATGTTCCAGGAGACATCAGTTCTTTAGGGCAGTTAAGCTGAAATCACCGGGCTTATCCTCCTAGTAGTTGGAGTAGCAAGAATCGCCCAAGAAAACAGTACTATTCCATGTCCCCAAAATTATTAGTATGAGAGCCAGCAAATGTTGGCGGCGATATCTCATCCACTTGTTCCTCGAGGTGTCCCCACTGAAAATCCTCTTGGCCTTTTGAGTTACTGCAAAAACTTCCACTGCATCCTATCCCAATGATCGTTCTCTCCCTGTTCTTCCGAACTGGAACGATTTAATCCGATTCTTTTCAAGGTCCCCCGAAAATTCGACCTTCCCAAGCCGTCCAAAGGTTATTTGTTTTTCCGCTCTACCCCTCGTGTAAGGGTAGCGGGCTATTCAGCGGGCCGACAGAGTGCGCTCCGCGGTCCCCCCCTCGCCCCCAATCAGCCCGCCGCCGCCCCCCGCCCTCTTTAACTATCCACGGGCAACCGTCTACTCGGTCAGCACCAACTGAATTCGCCGGGAGGTGTTCCTGTTTTAGAGCTCGAATTGAGCATTGAAGGATCCGCCTTATTTTGTTGGAAATCCAAAGGAAGGAGCGCCAATCGTCGCGCCTTTGACACCGCACTCTCGCTCCCAACCCGCTACCAAAAAAGGTGTTAACCGAAGCTTGTTGCCACTGACCAAACTTTACTTTATTACACTAAAACTCTCGACAGGCGCAAATCCTTAGTTTACTCACGTATGGCGCTTTATCGGGGGAGGGAAATCAGAAGAGATAATTTCGCCGTGACAAATTCCTTTGAAAAGTGGGATCAATTAACCAGGTAAGCTGTTTTCAAGAGATACGATATAGAGGGAAAGATAGGAGTGTGATCACTATGATTCTCAGCTACGTAGCGGTATCATATACCTTCAGAATTTCAGATTCTCTCCCAGGAGCGTCATGACCATATAGCAGTACTTCTTGTGCTTGGCAGCATGGAATACGCTTGGAATGTGTGGTTTATCTCCAGATTCGGTCATGGCTCGAAGGATTGCGATCTGAAACAAACTATGTTATACGTAGACTCCAAATGGGCTATCATGTCAGCGCACACATCATCTACATGGGTCCAGTCAACCGCACGCCCTCAGAGAGTGATTAAGTGGGGCGTTATAGGTCCTCGATCTTTTTACGTAAAAGTCTTCAAGGTAGCGGTACTCTGTAACACGTTACTCTGTAGCGAGGAAGAACGTGGGCCTTGTAGAAACTGTAACGCAGTGGCAAAGAAAAGCGATGAGAACAGCAGCGAAAAGCCCGAATGGGAGTTGGGCTTACCTCAAGCTTGATGGCTGATCCTCCTTCGACATCGTTTGGCTCTGCTTTCAGCGCGGCCGCCTGTCCTTTCCGTTTTGTGCTCTCCACCTGAACAATCGAGAAACTACTTAATACTTTTTTGATGAACGACGCTCCGTTGTTGCATGCCTAAGGCAAACGTTTCCATTTTCAAACTCGTTTTAGACCCTTCTTGCACAAACATAGTTGTCCTCCATCCCAGGCTAAAGTTGCGCATCACTCTGGAGAACAATTTGTGAGGCCTTATCTGCGTAAAGACGTTCCGTCGTAAGAGCATTCATAGTAGGCGATCGTACGTGAGATTAATCGATTAGGCGATTAGGCGAGTAGGCGAGTAGGCGATAAGGGAAGGATACGTATTGTTTTGTTGCTCCGCCCATGGAGCCACAATCGCCTAATCGCACGCACGATCGCCAACTCTGAACGCTCCATTACAATGTCAAATCCATATGTAATGCAGCTCATCTATTCTTGCAACGCAACCTGACGCAGCTGGTACATCAAGGATTGCTTGTTCGACCGCTCTCATAAGGCTCATTAGGCCAAAGTGCTGTAGATAGAGTGGATGTCGACCATATGCAAAAGGACAATCACTATCAGAATGTTATGCTGTTATCAATCTTTATCACTTTCCCACTTCTTTTTGCCTATTTCCCGGTGAACGAGGGGTTGATGCGCATCGCTACTGCACTCCAGAGCAAAAGAGGAGAGCTGGTACTGGGCCAGGCACCTGTGCTGCTTCGAAACACTCCAGTGTATTGGAAACGGAGTCTGTGGGCTAGAATCAATGTTTTTAGGTCCACAGGGTAACGGGCGGGCTGAAAGCTGAAAGCATCCCCAAGTTGTCACCTCCGAAATCAGGTGGTAGTTGACCGCATCGCGGAAATCCTGACCCTGGGGCCAGTTCCGCATTGTACAATTGGCCGTGCAATGGGCCAAGCGTTGTTCGAGCTTATTCTACTTCATCACAAGTGCTACCCCTGAACTGTGGCTCGAAATTTCGGAGCCCTCTCGTGACTATATGATTGTTCCCGGCCATGAGAGATATGTATGAAAGCTTCTTAAAACTCCAATTATACGGATAGGCGCGGCGACATAACGTAAGCCTACAAACCCACCTTATAAACATGTCCAAAACCACCTTCATCCAATTTTTTCACTATAACCCACTCTCCAAAGCTGAAATACGCTCTTCTCGTTGAGGAATCGTTAGGTAGTGACCAGTTGCAGTGCACATACCGTTTTCCGTGACTGAACTTGGCGACGGGGTTGTCATCCTCCCCCATTACGAGCGCTAGCCGAGCTGATCCTAAGCAAATGAGAAACACTCCACCAAAGAAACCCTCGTCACTTTGATATTGGATCCTAAGATTTTATCACTCATATCACTTCACGAACTCCTACAATGCCACCGCTCACGTAGCTGGTAGAGGAAATGTCGGTATGAGTGGAGTGTTTGTGCGGAACTCCTTCCCAGTTTGTCACTTCAGTACTTTTCAGTTCTCAGATGATAGGGATAAGAACTCATGGTCAGTGAGATCTCGGTTGAAGGCGACCTATTATTGCTGCACATTGGAGCCGGGCTTCATTCACTAGCTACAATACTTGCCAAAGGAGACTAGCGGTGCTATACAAGTGGGGTGGGCACGCCCAGCTTTTCACGCATGTCAAGTGACTGCCCTCACCCCCCACCCCCTAGATTGGCTACACTCCCCCTGGCTCACGAATTCCCCGATTCTCGTGACAGTATAGTAGCGAGCAGCAGTCCCACTTACATACATTTACGTTC